AAGTGGTTTGCACAAAGCTTTTATGAGTTTGCTGAAAGGATTCGAGGTACGTGAAATGATGTACATTTTTGACACTAGCGCATATTTTTAGATGTGCCCTGTGTAGATAGTAGCTCCTGAGACTCTGGTTGTCGTCGAAAATAGCGGAAAACAGAGGATCATAGTCCCAGGTAATAACCAGACCGCCTGTATGCGCAGGTGGTTGAAGCTCCGGTGGCTAGCCGGACTGATGGGTTTGCCGAACTAAAGTGGCAGCTAGGTGCGGTAGATGCCGATACCGTGCTTGTCAACAAGCGGCTTGACAAGGCACAGGGTAGGTGATTTTTCTGGTGATTGTCAAGTAATAAGAGCAGCATGATGCCAGTATCTTTAATATGTTGTGACTGCAGATGGAGCTGCCATCGTGGAGACCCTTCGGGCGGAGCTTGCCCGAGCCAAGGAGCAAGCCAGGAGCAGCAATGCGGTCGCTTTAAAGGCAGCCGGGGAGTTAAGGGCCGAACAGGCCGCGCATTGCGAGAGCAAGGAAAAAATAGCCAAGATGGCTATAGAGTTAAAAGATGCTGCTGACCGTTACCAGCTTCTTGAAAAAGAAAACCGGGCGAAGGCGACGGGTCTGGAAAAGGCCCGGGTGGCTGCCAAGGAAGCCCGCTCCCCAATTAGAGCGACGAAGGAGGAGCTGCATCAAGCTACGGATATTGTATCCGGAAAGCCCTTCTTGTTGCGGACTAAGTTCGGGGATCCGAAGTATGCACCTCTGGACCGGCTATGGAGTTCTGCGGATGCCTACGTGGATTTGGCTGCAAGAGTGCTGCTGATGCGGCCGAGTACTTCAAGGATCGGAAAGATCACGAAGTGGAAAAACTGTTTTGGTCACAATTTCATGCTCCAGCCCGTCCGTTGCTGTTGAATGAGCAAATGGCCGAGTGGACCGAGCTCCATAGATTATCCGGACTTGCCATGAGGTCCGTTGTGGATCATCTGTGGCCGAGAGGGCCAAGGCCGAATACCTACTTTGGCTTAGTGCAACAATTCCTTGGTGCTGTGCCGAACATCGATGTTGTAAAAAGGTCGGCGTGCATAGAAGGCTCGCGGATGACCCTTGCCCGTGTCAAAACATACTGGGCGGAGATGGATGCCACCACTGTTGCGGCACAGGGTTCGGCCATAGGCCGAGTAGCTGCCGAGCACTACTTTGAAGAGTTCTTGAAGGCGCTCGTTCGATAGAGGCTCAGTGCTCGAAGAATATTATGTTTGAGTGACATGTATTCCCATTGTAAAAACAATGTTTTATTGAGTTTATCAAGGTTGTATTTATACTTTTGCCCGAAAGTACTATGATGCCTCCTGTGCGGCCGTTTATGTATATATGTATATAACCTGAAAGATGGCAGTCGTTGGCTTCAGCCCCCACGCATATAATGCGGGGGTGTTCGCAGAAGACGCATGTTCACACTTGATCCAACGTGTTGATTCATTAAGGAGGTGATAGCGCAGCGAACTAGGCAATCGGACTATAATGTTTTAACACTTTCACTTAGCCAGAGGAGTTTGACAGTGGGGCTACTATATAGCCCCTGGTGGCTCCGCACTCATCCGAATTCGGGGTGCGTACATGCCTGGCCGGGAAATGGCCCTTCATCAAAGCGGAGGAATCCCGAAGATTCCGCTAGGTCATCGAGTGGTTGACCAGTCTCACGCTATATCATGACAGTCAGTTTTCGGCTTTCTCTACTGATGTGCTCGTCCGGATGAATCATGGCACAATCGCAGTAGTTTTCCTGGTGCCACCTTAGCCGATAGAGCGGAACGTAAGGCAGCAAAACACAGGAGCCGGGCAAACCCAATATTTGATCAAAGACATGATTCGGAGCTAATGCATATAAGGTCAAACTCGCGACGCCGAACACTCTTTAAAGTATTTAGTCTTTTTGGTATAAACCGGGCTTAAGCAGTGCCCTTTGTAATAAGCCTCTGGTGTCCAGGTACGTGCAATATTCTGACGTGGCCACATGCCAATACGTCAGCATCCTTCTCAATTGTACTGAGAATCCGGAGGATGTCGTTCATTATGCTTTTGTATCCACTTGATGTTACATTATGAGTTAATAAAAACGCCCTTTATCAAAAACATGTTCCAGTTGAGTGACCCATAATAGTCAACTGTAATTTTGTAAAACACCATTGCACATCCAGTTCAAAGAAAAATTCACCATCACAGAGGTGGTATGCTATTCAACGTTTGCATATCAAAAAGCCATTACAAGATACCAACTTTTAGTTTCAAGGATACGGTATGGTGAATTTCAGCCAATCTGTTCAGTCAATGAAAAACGAAGATTTTCTGTCGTCACGGAAGCCATGATGCTCTACAACCTCCTGTGCATCTATCTATTATTATACATTAAAAGTGCATGACGGGTTAACAAGAAAAGGGAAAAATATGATAAAAATTCTCATAAAAATCAGAAGTATCTAACCTTTAATTTAGTAAATCAAAAAATCACACCGTCAATCTAAACGTTTGTGCCTACTTCTTTTTTTTTTGCAGAAATAATCATGATCTATTATCAAAGTTCAACGGAACCACAAAGCACCACAACCGTAATAAAAACTACATCAAGACTGCGAGACCGCCGAACGACCAATACCGCCGCTAGGAAGAGCTGTTGATGCCGCTCCTCTACCGGAGCCGGCTTCACCTTGCCGATGATAGCGAAGAAGTCTTTGTACACGTGCTCCTAAGGAGCAGCGCCCTGGAGCCACAGTAGTCGTCATTGATTGAACCCTTGAGTAGATCTGAAGCACCTAACAACAAATCTCGCCGCACGACAAGAAACCCTAACATCACCGCTCGAATAGATGTCAGGAATCTACGCGACCGTGTCTACTCTAACCCTACAAACCTACTTTTGGGTATCCCCGTGGTAGTCGCCGGCCATCTCTACGTGGTCCCCCATCAACTGATGCCTTTATCACGTTTGGCCTTTATGGATTTTCCCTCTAGCTCCACTGCTAAAATATATATATGGTTATCTTTATCTAAACGTACGTGTCTACTCTAGCCCGAAAAACCGAATTGACAGGCTAGGGTTTTCACCTACAACCCTAACACGGAGAGTATACCTGCAACGACGCCACCAAGAGATAAGTGACACATGTAGGCATCAATGTCGCCGGCGCCAAAGGATACAACATTCGCTTGAATCCTCGCCCCGTGCCACCTGAGACATCAAGGGACCAACCCAACCCGAAGGAAGGGCCACATTGCCAGCACGAGGCCTTCAGATAATGACTATGGAGCCATCATTGCCAAGCTACTACTGTGCACCGCCTTGCCCTCCCCTCGACCTCCCCCGCCGACG